CAGCGCCGAGTACAATGACCTCAGTTTTATCTGAATTAAGAAGCAGAAAGTTAGCGGCCATCCAGGTCTTTATGTCTTCAAGACATTCCTGCTGTTTAAATCAGCCTATAATTCCAGATGACTCCTCCTGCAAGCTTTTAAGGCATTGCACAGTGCACCGGACTACTTTTCATATTTCTGACTTACCTTTTCCCAAATGTGGGGAGCACAGTGTACTGAGTGTACTGTTTCAGCAAAGTCTAAATGATCAAACAAGGGAACTTACCTCTAAATATAAAACCAACACTGCTGATTCTTCCATCTCTTAAATCATAAAAATAGATAACTGTCTAAGGGAATGAAGAGCGTAAATAGATATATTTCAAAGTGAGGCCCCCCCCCTTATTTCTGATTCTGGAGTCTAGAAAACTGGAGACATGCAAATAGGAAGGTAAGCAAACACCCATGTCTGAGTTGGCCCCTAAGTCAATGGGTAGGCCTTGTTATATCAGGATTTTGTTGGGACAACTTTTATGTAGAATTAGAGCCACTGTCTGCTTACGATGATGATTATGTACATAAAAGGGAGCTAGGCCTTTAAGATAACAGTAAATAAACCATTACTTAAAAAGCTATCACTTGACACAGCTATCTTAGCTAATTATAGCACTTTAGGTGCCTTGAAAAGCGCTATATAAATCCAATCCATTATTATTATTATTATTATTATTATTATTATTATAGGCCAATCTCCAGCCTTCCTTTTATCTAAAAAAAATCTGAAAAGAGTAGTTGTAAAAGTGTTAACTGATGATCTGTAGAGGAATGGCTTATTTGAAGAATTTCAGTCAGATTTAAGAACTCATCACAACACAGAAACAGCTTTAGTGAAGGTGATGTTCTTAAGGCCTTTGTCATTAGGTCATTTGATTGTTGGGGTTTCCTCTCTGTTATTGTAGGGTCTTTACCATGTAATATAAAGTGTCTTAAGGGAGCTGTTGTTATGATTTGGTGCTATACAAAGAAATCGGAATTAAGTAGTTCAATAACCAACAAAGCCCATTACATTGCAAAATGTGTAAGAAAACTGTTCTCCCTAATAGTGGAAACAAACTTGTTTTACCACTTGAGTCAATAACATGATTGAGTACAAAAACAGATGTGTACTACAACGTGATAGTCATATCTCAGTGAGTTGCGTCAAGCTTAAAATCTGCATTTTCTGTTTCACAACAGTGGCTCTCTTAGCTATACCACTGTTTTAACTAATGGTGAATACATAACATGGTTGAGAGCAAGTAAAGTTTTATTTGTATAGCACATTTCAAGATAAGCATCTCTAAGTGTTTCACACTAAAATGCTACAAGATAAAAACAAAAGTTAACAAAACGCAAGTGAAAAAAGATGACTTTTTGGGTGTTTTTATGAAAGAGACCACAAGATCCACAGATCTCAAGCTCAGAAGGAGAAAGTTCCAAAGTCTGGAGGTCACTGTTGCAAAAGCTCTGTCTCCTTTAGTTTTCAGCCTCATGTGAAGCACAGTCAGCAGGCCCTGATACCTCAGGGACCTGTATGTGACAAGAAGGATTTAAAATTTGAGTCTAAATTTACCAGGAAGCAAATAAAGAGAAGACAATCTAAATTTTAAAGCTTTTAGATCATCCCGATAATAAAGAATAGCAGTAGTCCAGTCTAGAAGTAATAAATACATAAACTAGGAGCCTCATTTCACTTCTCACTTCTGCTTAGCCCTAGGTGCCCAGGTGAGCCCGTCTTCTAGCTATTAACCACAGGCTAATGGACAAACAGGGTCAATCAGGAGCGGAAGCAGCACTTCAGTGTGTAATAGCCACTAACCCTGCTTCTTAGTGCAGTATGCAGGTAATTCTTTGATATGATCAGGTTATAAACCACAGTGGTTTTAGTTTATTCAACTCACAAAACCCTGACAGAAAAAAATGTAACCGTTGGCTGGATATACACTTAATAAAACCTAGCCAAAAAATCCAAATAGCCACCCAAAGATGCCCTTACTGAGGGAACAATTAGTTTTCTTAACCAGCTTGTTGGCTGTGGGGCAATAACAATAGCGAAGTCTTACAGCCAGATGACTGAGGTGGAGGATTCCTGAAACAAACCTAACTTGTGACAGTAAAGATGGGGATGTCCTGGAAGAAAGGCACACCTAACACAACTTGCAGGACTTAACCTCGTAATATTCAACACTATACCAGCCAAACACTGAGGTCCAAGGTTACGGTTAGAATGCATCACAGTCAGACATCAAGACTCTGAATCATGACTGTAAAGATATACTGTTTTTTGATTAATTTGATATGCCTTAAAAAACCCTAATTCCAAAAAAGTTGGGATGCTGTAAAATGTAAATAAATCAGAATGCAAGGATTTTCAAAACTAATGAACCCGTTTTTATTCACATATAGAAAACCTATTTATTCAAAACAGAAACTGAAAACATTAAATGTTATAACTGAGAAAATGCACCATATTAAGAAAAATATTAGCTAATTTTAAATTTGATGTCAGAACACATCTCAAATGTTGGGACAGATCTGGGAACTGATGGAAGAAGTTGCTGGACTTAAAAATGCAACTTTTAAAATGTATTCCACTACAGATTACAGATTACATGCCCCAAAATGTATTTTGTAACGTATTCCGTTATGTTACTCATTGAGAGTAACGTATTCTGAATACTTTGGATTACTTAATATATTATCATGCTTTTTACAACTACATGAATGTACTATTGCTGTGTGATTTATTACTTTTACTGAAGGTTATTCGCCATACCACTAACAACTAGATGTTTACACCTTAATATAAATGAGTAACAGTAGGGTGGACATTAAGTAAGGCTGCACTTTTTGCAGCGATCGCGTATAGAAAACTATTCCGCGTGTATATAAAACAGGTCCGCGGCTCTGAACCATAGTAAAGGGACCTCTGGCTAATATGTCGGGTTCGTAGCCGAAAACTAGCTTTACTTTGTTGTCTGGGTCAGCTTTGCTAGTGAGAGACAGAGAGGGGCGTTGAAAGGCTGCTTATTGTTTTGGAGGAAAACACAAACACAGTGTACAGTCGAGTCTTAATAGCTTACTTACAACTGGGCTACACTGCCCATGAGGCTACATTCTTTAGAGATATGCCTGTAACACTCTGCCTATTGACTTCATATTAAATCATTTTTTGAACAATAATTTAAAAAAATATTTATTCATTATGCGGACCGCAAGCAGAGGTAGCATAGGCCACGAGATTGAGACACAGGCATTAGAGCCTCTTAATGCCTGTTTTGTTTGGGTTTCCACCGGCGTTAGAGCATAGCCGAACATATGAAACAGGAAAATACCGCCGTGTAATCCATTTATTTCAACAAAGTAACTGTATTCTGAATATCACCTTTTAAAACTGTAACTGTAACAGAATACAATTACTCATATTTTGTAATTTAAATAAGTAACACCAGTACATGTATTGCGTTACTCCCCAACACAGCCCCAGCCTTTATATACCTTTTGCAATTGATGATGCCTTTCCAGATGTGCAACCTACCAATTCCACAGGCGCTAATATACCTCCATGCTATCAGACATGCATGCTTTTGACATGTGTGCTGATAACAATCTGTATGATCCATCTCCTCTTTGGTCTGGAGGATGCATTCTCCATGTTTTCCAAAAAGAATTTCAGATTTTGATTTGTCTGACTACAGAATGGTTTTCTGGTTTGTCAGTCTATTTAGTCCATTTTAAATGAATTTGGTCCAGAAGATGATGCGGGGGGCTTCTTTATATGGGGGCTTCTTTATATGACAACATTTTAATCTGCACAACAGACGGTCTTCACAGACAATGATTTCTGAAAGCACTCCTGAACCCCTATCAGTTTTCCATTACAGAATCAGTTTTTGTTTGGTTTTTATAGGCCTGAATATCACAAGCATTCAATATAGATTTTTGGTCTTGTTCCTTGTATACAGAGAATTCTCGAGATTTCTAGACTCTTCTGATGTTATTATGTACTGTAGATGACAAGATATTTCAAGTCATTTTATGTCCTGCAACAAAATGTTTCCATGAAATCATCAATTTGTGGTCATAGTGTTTTTGCAGACTGGTGAACCTCTTCCCAACATTGCTTTATTTTTTATATTATTTATATTTGATATTTTTTAAAAGTCATGTTGCAGACCTGTGGCTAGTTTGTCAAGCTATTACTTTTTAGTACCACTTACATTTTCAGCCTTCTGTTGTCCCCACCCAAATCTTTTGAGATGTGTTGCTTATATTAAATTTAAAATAAGCTAATATTTTCTTAAAATAGTACATTTCCTAAGTTCAGACATTTCATAGGTTTTCTATTTTGAAGCATATCCCGTCTGTCATAGGTCAGGAGATGGCCTATAGTCCTTTTAAGATTACAGCTAGGTTTGTTTAAGCTAAGATTTTTTTCTCTCATCCTGTTCCTTTTGTAAACTTGCAGAAAGGAACACTGTTGAAAAAAATGGAGCATAAACTCTTCATATCAAACCAAGTTTTGTGTTCACATCCACATTTTCACTACATGCAAGAAATCCATCTTCTCCATTTATTTCAATGTAGTTTCCAGCAACAGCTAACAGCAAAACAGTTAAAGGTTTCAAAGGTTTACAGCAATGCACAGCTAAGTCATGCTGCAGCTCACATGCACACACTGCTTCTATATTATTTTATAACTTGAACAAGCAAACCCAGCTGTTTACCTCATGTTTGTTTCGACAAAATTATGAGAAGTCCTCCTTTTTGTAATCTGATAACCCGTTGTTGGAATCTCATGTATTTTGCAGTATTTTGTGACCTTTCCTAAATCCATCCATTCATTCACTTCTGCTGATCCTTTTCAGGGTCGCGGGGGGCGCTGGAGCCTATCCCAGCTGTCATAGGGTGAGAGGCGGGGTACACCCTGGACAGGTTGCCAGTCTGTCGCAGGGCCAACACACAGGGACAGACAACCGTTCGCACTCACATTCACTCGCACATTCACACCTAGTGGCAATTTGGATTATCCAATTAACCTATCCCCACAAGTTGCATGTCTTTCCTAAATCATTATCAGATATTGATATACTACATATTGACACCTTTAAACCAACCCAAAATGTTGCTTACAGGACAAAAAATCTGAGATTCAACTCTTGCTTGTGTGAGATGTTATCCAAACATTCTGGAAAAAAGGGCCATGGAACAAAGTGAGAAACAAGATCAGGAGAATCCTTGTCCTTTTTTTGTGACATGTACTGTGCACTATAAATTTATGACAATGTAAACGTGGAGTTCTACTGAAATGTGCTGAGACATTGGATGGAGAAGGAGAACACAAAAAATAGCAGCCGCAAGTGAGTCCATCTGGATAAGGGTGAGGAGAATAGGGTAAGAATTTTCATTCCTAAGAACTTTTTGATGATTCCTCAAGCATAACATAATAGTGTTAGAGTGGGCATCATTAGCTTCATTCTCCTCTCCAAGATCAATAAATGTATCCTGCTGACCTAGTACCTGCACTTTAAAAAGGTTGGAAGTTGATGGTGTCCACAGATGTTTTATGGCATTGGTGCACTGATCCTTCATCTTCTCTCTTCATAGGCCCGAGAAGCTTAATTCTCCACTTCTGCTTCTTCTAACAAGCAAAATGTGTTTCTGCCTCCACAGTTCTTTGTGTTTGTCGCATCAGTCTAGTAAACCACTCCAAGGACCTTCTTCATGTGCTCGTAGACCACATAGGAGATGCTGACAGCAGGAATAACTTTGAGGAAGTTGGGCGTGATGCCTCGGTACAGACCTGGCACACCTTCATGAGATATGATGTATTTGAACTGACCCACCATGGTCAGCTTGGGTTTACCCTCAGTAATGGCTGAAAGTAAAAATGAGAACAATGTAAGCTACAGAGAGTAATATATGGACAGACTTATTGCTAAATCGTTCCAATGTTTTGTAGGCCTACAACTGCCTACAATCTATCATTTACATCATATCGCACCCTGTGCCTGCATGCGAGTCCGGATGAGAGCGAGGGGATATGACGCTAGCTGGCCACAGGTGCTGGAGACAGTACCACAGCCCAGCAGGACCAAAACTCCTGGGTCTGCTGAGTTGACACAGTACCTCTGGAGCCAGGCATTCTTCAGGGTCTTAAAGCATGAGCAGTGAAAAATGTTAAGACACTAATAAAGGAGAGCAGTTAAAAGTTAAAAGAAAGAGGAAGAGAAAAAGGAAGGGGAAAGAAATGAACTGAAACGCATACACTGACAACCACTTTGTTAGATAGTCTGTTTAGCTGCTCAATAATGCAAATATGTAATCAGCCAAATATATGTCAGGAACACATGGTCAAGATGACCTGTTGAAATTCAGGATGGGGCAAAATGGTGAATTAAGTACTAAATGTGGCATGGTTGTTAGTGCAAGATGGTATGGGATGGGTTTCTTTAGAACCTACTGGGATTTTTCTGCACAAACAATCTCTAGGGTTTACAGATAAGTAAAGTGAGTAAGTGTTACTTCTCTGGGCAAAAATACAATCTGTCTGCCAGAAGTCAAACAAGAATGAGTAGATCAGAAGACAACAATAACTCAAATGACCACCTGTTATATCTACATTATGCGTGCATGGGTGTACAGTGTTCAGGTGTGGAATCCAAATGCAAGTGGTGAGTATGAGAGATTGAATGGAAAATATTAGGCGCAGAAGGAGAACACAGGTTAGCAATGCATGGAAACAGCAAAACATAGACAACTGAGGTGGCCTGTACTAACAGAGGTTAGCAGAAGAACCGGGTAAGGACAGTTGACAATGCTGGCTTTAAATACCACTGGCTGATTGCTTCAAATCACGAACAGGTGCGGATGTCAGGTGAGCTGATGAGGAATCTGCCCAGAGGCGGTGCCATAACCACACATGGCGAGACTCAGCTGGCCCATGAAAGGAACAAACATGCTAATGCTTCTGATCTGAAGTAACTCTTTATACACAGAGAGTGTACAGAAAGCAGTACATACCTCATACACAGCCAAGTCAATGCCAGCATATGGAATGATGCCCATTGTATTGGGCAGGTATCCTCTGTAGAATGCTCGGATACCCTCAGTCTTCAGAATCTGTCTGGCACAGTCAGCCATACCTGAGTACTGTCCGGTCTTCCTTAATGTAAGGCGAGTTTTCAGCACCTATCCAGCATAGGGAATAGAAGAAAAAAATGCATACAAATCCAAAATTAACACAGGAGTGAGTAGAAACAGTAGCAAGAGGTTCTTCTTCAATGAGTCAAAGGTAGAACTGGTCTATGGTTTCTTTAAACACCTATTTTCTAATTCTTCCACTGATACAGCTGTGCTTTACGGTAGCATTTCTTCAGTTTAACTAAAGAAGCCTCTTAAATGAGAGGTGAAACGTCTTTTACCAAACATTTTTCTTCTTACTCTGTGCAGAAGCCAGATTTCCTATGCCATGCCTCCCCAGCTGCAAACAAAATACAGAGCTAGCCACCGCTACCACCTTTAAGAGGGTTTGACTCCTTTTAACTACTTCTGTCCAAACAATAATTTATAAGGGCTAAATGTGTGCTCTCTCCATTAGCCAGGATCAACCATGGCAAGCCCTCCTCGCAGTCTCCCCCATTTGATTGCATTAAGTGGGAGTTCCGTGTTTGATGGAAACACCCCGAAGCTCCCCTGACTTTGAGCATGATAGGCTGAAGCCCTGTTAAGCTTGATGTTAAGATGTTTAAGAATTTGGGAGAACAGATTAAAGAAAAAGTTTGAACGATTTTTGGTATATTAAAAATGGAAATAAACTGAGTAAGCCCACACATGTGCCCCTGCAGCACCATTACTCCAAATTCATGTAATGCCCTAAACTGTCAAATTTGGATGGACTACAACCTTTAATTGACCCTGAAAGAGGCTTCATGCCTATCCCTAAGACATGGCCAGAGGATCGTGTGAAACTCTCCTGTGACTAAACTGAAGCTCAAAGGAAACATTAATGTTGATAGCACTTGATAGTACATCAGGAATCTGAGACTGAAGGGCTTCAAAATCAAAAAACATCTTCAAAGACCTCCTTAAATACCCACAGAACTGACCATTTGGACTTTGCAACAGAGCACCAAACATGGGACCAGTGGCGGTTTTAGATATGGGCAACATGGGCAGCTGCCCAGGGCAGCATCGTGGTGGGGGCGGCATCATGGCATTGGGGAAAAAAAAAGTTGCTCGCACTCACGCTGCCCCGACATCATGCCAGCGAATTTTGGGGATTGCATAGGCACCGAATGGTTTTCTATTGCCCATTTGCGAGGAGTAAGGGCACCTCGTAAATGGAGGAGAGGGGTAGGACAGCAAGTGATTCTCTGGCTGGCTGGAGCAGCATCTAATAACAAGCTCACAAAATAAAAATAAATAAATATTTAAAAATAATAATAATAATCATTCGTAATATTGTCAATCCAAGCCCACTATGTATGAATTATTTTTCCTGGGTTGTGTGAAATCCCCCCCCAAAAAAACCTATAGAACCTGAATCTGTGCATAAGGTGTCTATTAGTGTATGTTGTGGGGTTGGTTGTTGATACTGGAGTGCAAAATTACTGATGGAAGATTGACAAGAAAAGGTCAGAGCCATCAGGTCCTCAGTTTAGAAAAAACAGAGAAAAGAAGAGGAGAAACGAACAAAAGGCAGATGTGTCTTTGGATAATGGCAGGTATTATGTATCCTGAAACAAGATAACATTCATTAGTAGGTATTGGGAAAACTTCTGGTTGCCTTTGTTAGCCACTTGGCTATGATAGTAAACAGACAGTAGACACTGATGTGGCTTACTCAATCTTTTGGACTGTGTTCAGTACAATATTAATTAGCCAATACTGGAAGAGCTGTATTGTTGATTTGTCTGCTTGTCAGGATCTGGAGACTCGACTGGAAAATTCCATCAGGCGCCTGAGTTCCTTGGTCTCCACCCCTGGGCGGAGCCATCATCCCTGCTGCAGTCCTGCACACCTGAGACTGATTCAGGGCAATCAGGTTGAGGATTTAAGGCCCCCTCAGCCTCTCCTTCACCGCCAGTTCGTCAACAACTTCACGTTGGTATTGGCTCTATGGTTGTTTACGCTCTTGCCACTTCCTTGTTAACTTTGGTTTCATGTGCTTCAGATTCCCTGGACCTTTTTTGCTATCACCCTCAACCTCAGCTCTCTGTGGATCATCATCAGACTCAGGTCTGCCAGCCTCTCCACTACTCCCCTGGACTATCGCTGCCTCTCCCTCAAAGCGAGGTTCACGCCGGTCACCAGTAAGCGCTATCAGTCAGTTTCACCTCTGTTTGGATACCCTGCACCTGCCGCCTTCTTAACCCTGTTCTCTTTTCTTCCCAGATGCAACCGCTCCATTCCTGTCGCAACCTGCTAGACCCCCGTTCACCCCCACTGTCACACGGTTACATCATTAGCGACACCCTGCCACATATTCACTTGTTGACTAAATAATAAACACTGCAAAACGTTGAGCCGTCTCTGTTGTGGTTATCTGCAATCGAGTCCGATCTAGCTATCAGCCCGTGGCCATTGTGACACTGCTATTCTCAATGTAAAATTCAACAACAGTTTTCACAATAAAATATGTTAAGTTACAATCTTTAATATGTTTGGTGTGTGTGACTGTGTGTCGGGCGGGGTGGGGGAAGAAGGTTTTATTCTGTGATGAGAAAAAATGTAACCTTGATGGTCTTGATCGTTTCCAATGTTACCGGCTTAACAAGCTGATCCCATCTGAGATGTTCTCCACGCTCCACAGTGGAGGGGGCGCCATAATGGTCTGGGGTGCTACAATGCTACAGTACACAATGCCCGCAGGACAAGGGACTTCTTCCAGAAGAATAACATCACTCTTTTGGACCATCCTGCGTGTTCCCCTGATCTAAATCCAACTGAGAACCTTTGGGGATAGATGGCAAGGGAAGTTTACAAAAATGGACAACAGATCCAGACAGTAGATTCCTTTCAGATGGCTGTCTTTACCACTTGAAGAAATGTTCCCACTCACCTCATGGAAAAGCTTCCATCAAGCATGCCACAACGAATTTTTGAAGTGATCAACAATAATAGTGGAGCTACTCATTACTGAGCTCATGTTTGGAACATTGAACCTCTATCTATCTATCTATCTATCTATCTATCTATCTAAAAGAAACATATCTTCAAGAGGAAATGACTGACATAAATTTTAAACTCACCTCCATGGGATAGATGATAGTCTGGGCAGTAGCTCCTGCAAGCGACCCAGCAATGAACCTCTCTTGTACCCTTAAACTGCCCCCCTCTTTATTACCTCGGATCAGCCACTTGATCTGGAGTAGGAAGAGTGAGGAGCAGGAGGAGGGAAAACCACAAGCAATAAAATATTTCAAAAGGACACAGTAGAGTGGACTATTATTTTTTTTTCCCACTGTAAACTAATATACAGTTACTACTTTTTCTACCACAAGTTAAGTAAACACTTACGAGAACAGAAGACATAGTTCCACTTTCTCACTGTTTGTCCACTGACCTGTTCGTAGGCCATAAACTTAATGGCAGATTCAGGGGCAATTTTGAGGACGTTGATACCATTTCCCCTCCAGAGTGAAAGCACACCTCCCTCCTGGATCATCCCCCTCAGGCCAAACCACAGATTAATCTCTCGAGCTGTGGAGCCATGTACCTAAAAATTCAAATAATGACAGTAAAGCTGATTTTTCTTTTTTTACAATCTGTACTATGTTTTAAAAATACGCTGTTGGACACCAACCAAATATGTTAGCGTGCTTATCCAACCCTAGTTGGGTATATGCGAAAAAGCAGAATATAAAGGTAAATATCTTCCTTATTAAGGCCATATAGATGTAAATGTTGCACACCAAAGATTCATTTTTGTTTGGATCACAGTCGGCACTTGTTTTTGGTCTGTATACAGACTTTGGCTACAAAGTATCTGAAGTAAAAAAAAGGAGCATTCATCTGAAGCTGTATTTAATCCCATGTGATAAATGTCTTTTAGCTCTCTTTCTGGTCTTCATCTGGCCCTGAGTAAATTTTACTTATGGTATGAACCAGACATTTTTAAGCAGTACCTCTCTGCTGTTTGCTGAAAACAGCTCTACACTGTGGATGACAATTATGTCATTAGCGGTGAAAAGTGGTGATGGTGTATGTTAAAGTGAATTGTTAAATGTTGTCATTTTTATGCTTACCATCTCTACATTGTTTCAAACTGTGTGATCAAAGACATTCCTTTGTCTCTGACCACCTCTCCAGCCATTCTGGTGCTGGGGGAGGTTTTATTGTAGATACATCCTATCTGAAAGATCTGTTTCTTGTTGTAAACTTCCTGCTTTTATGATCCTTTTGGGGAGCAGGAGAACACACACACACACACACTCACTCACATGCATGCACACACACACGTTCTTGCACATGCATAGACATGCATACACGTGCACACACATACACATAGTGCCTTGTCTTTTAGAACCATTTGGGGGGTTTATGGTGGGAGGTGCTTGTGTTGTGTTGTGTATTGTAACAGTTTTTCAATAAAAGGCTACGAGGAGGGCTGCTCTTTGAAGGAGTTGGGCTGGAGACAGGTGAGGAGTGTTAAGCTCCACAGCCTGGTTCCGATCAGCCTTCCCTCGCTAGCGAGTAAAAGACCGGTTGAAGATGTTCTGTCTTGTTTTTGTTCTTCATGAGGAATAAGTCTCTAAACTAGCAGGGTCTGTGGAAGCGCAGACTCAACAGTATAGGCCACAAACCAGAACAGTACAACAGACGCAGCCTTGTGTGATTTTTTTTTTTTAATATATTGTTTTTTTTGTTGTTGTTAGCTTTTATTGTGATAGGACAGGAAAGATGGGAGAAATATCATGGGGAAAGCATGCAATAAATGACCTTGAGGTGGACATCTATAGGCAACCCTTCTGGCTTTATGCCACAAGCACCCCACTCATTTGGCCTTTAATTTAATTCCCATATTGGCTTTGAACCTTTAAGGAAACAAGCTCATCAAGATAAATTAATAACTATTTTCATTCATTCTCATGTTGCAACTGAATACAAAATAAATACCCCCTCCTAACAGAACAAACTCACTAACAGTTTCTTTTACCTTGTAAAGAAAGGCACTGCCAAAAGTATTTTCATGCTTGCTTCTCACGCATATGTATCTGACATCCGAATCAATCCATAGGGTTTAATATGATGTCAGCGCACCCTTTGCAGCTATAACAGCTTCAACTCTTCTGGGAAGGCTTTCCACAATGTTTAGGAGTGAGTTTCTGGGATAGGGTTACCGGGGCCCTGCCCTGGAGCCAGGCCCGGGGAGGGTGCCCGAGGGCGAGCGTCTGGTGGCCGGGCCTTAGTCCGTGGGCCTGGCCGGGCTTAGCCCGAAAAGGGGACATGGGCCCATCCTCCCGCAGGCCCGCCACCCGCAGGAGGCGCCGTAGGGGTCGGGTGCATTGTGTGCTGGGCGGTGGCCAGGAGCGGAGGCCCTGGCAGACTGATACCTGGCTAACAAGAGTGGCAATTGGGACATGGAATGTCACCTCTCTGGTGGGGAAGGTGCCTGAGTTAGTGCGTGAGGTTGAGAGGCTAGATATAGTCAGTTTCACCTCTACGCATGGCTTGGGCTCCTGGAGAGGGGCTGGACTCTGTCTCAGTCTGGAGTTGCCCCTGGTGAGAGGCGGCGGGCTGGGGTGGGTATTCTAATATGGTTGCTTGCTGCCGGTACGTTGGGGTTCTTCCCAGTGGATGAGAGGGTTTGTTCCCTGCGCCTTAGGGTTGGGGAACGGGTCCTGACTGTCATCTGCGCTTATGCGCCGAGTGGCAGTTCAGAGTACCCATGTTCAGCATCTCCATTGCCGAAGCTGCTGCATTGAGCTATGGCCGCAAGGTGGTTGGTGCCTGTCGTGGTGGTAATCCCCAAACCAAATGGTGGACACCAGAGGTGAAGGGAACCACCAGGCTGAAGAAGGAGTCCTATCGGGCTTGGTTAGCCTGTGGGACTTCGGAGGCAGCTGACAGGTACCGACAGGGCAAGCGGAATGTGGCTCGGGCAGTGGCTGAAGCAAAAACCCAGGTGTGGGAGGAGTTTGGAGAGACCATGGAAAAAGACTTTTGGACTGCCTCAAAGAGATTCTGGCAAACTGTCAGGCGTCTCAGGAGGGGAAAGCGGTGCTCTACCTGCACTGTGTATGGTGCTGGCGGAGTGCTGCTGACTTCGACTGAGAAAATTGTCGGACGGTGGAAGGAATACTTCGAGGACCTCCTTAATCCCACTGACACGTCTTCCGAGGAGGAAGCAGAGTCTGGGGATGACGTGGATAACCCGCCAATTTCCGGGTGCGAGGTCACTGAGGCAGTTAAACAATTCCTTGGTGGCAGAGCCCCTGGTGTGGATGAGGTCCGCCCCGAGTTCCTGAAGGCTCTGGACGTTGTAGGCTGTCCTGGTTGACATGCCTCTACAATGTTGCGTGGAGATCAGGGGCAGTACCCCTGGATTGGCAGACCGGGGTGGTGGTCCCCATCTTTAAGAAGGGGGACCGGAGGGTGTGTTCCAACTATAGGGGGATCACACTCCTCAGCCTCCCCGGGAAAGTCTATGCCAGGGTACTGGAAAGGAGAGTTCGTCCGCTAGCCGAAACTCAGATACAGGAGGAACAATGCGGTTTTCGTCCTGGTCGCGGAACACTGGACCAGTTCTTTATCTTCTCAAGGATACTTGAGGGTGCATGGGAGTTTGCCCAACCAGCCTACATGTGTTTTGTGGACTTGGAGAAGGCATTCGACCGTGTCCCTCAGGGTGTCCTGTGGGAGGTGCTGCAGGAGTATGGGGTGTCTGGCCTATTGCTACGGGCCATTCGATCCCTGTACACCCGTTGCAAGAGCTTGGTTTGCATTGCCGGCAATAAGTCGGACTGGTTCCCGGTGGGTGATGGACTCCGCCAGGGCTGCCCTTTGTCACCGATTCTGTTCATAATTTTTATGGACAGGATTTCTAGGCGCAGCCAAGTGGCGTTGGGCTTTCACTTCGGTGGCCTCAGAATCTCATCTCTGCTCTTTGCGGATGATGTGGTTCTGTTGGCTTCATCGGGTGATGGCCTCCAGCTTGCACTGGTACGGTTCGCAGCCGAGTGTGAAGCAGTGGGAATGAGGATCAGCACCTCCAAATCTGAGGCCATGGTTCTCAGCCAGAAAAGGGTGGAGTGCCCACTCCGGGTCGGGGATGAGTTCCTGCCCCAAGTGGAAGAGTTCAAGTATCTCGGGGTCTTGTTCACGAGTGATGGGAGAAGGGAGCCAGAGATCGACAGTTGAAGAGGGAGCTGAGTGTAAAAACTAAGCTCTCAACTTACCGGTCAATCTACCTCCCTACCCTCAACAATGGCCACGAGCTGTGGGTAGTGACCGAAAGAACGAGATCGCAGATACAAGCGGCGGAAATTAGCTTCCTCCGAAGGGTGGCTGGCCTCTCCCTTAGAGATAGGGTGAGAAGCTCAGCCATTTGGAAGGGGCTCAGAGTAGAGCCGCTGCTCCTCCACATCGAAAGGAGCCAGCTGAGGTGGTTCGGGCATCTGACAAGGATGCCTCCTGGGCCACACCCCTGCCACATTGTGGTTACAGTGATTGCCATAATCAAGCAGCTCATGCATCTGCTACAAATCTGCAGATTGTAGTCACTGTGACTGGAAATGAAATAATGCTTACATGAAGACATGAGGGCAACGAGGACAGATTTAAACCTGGATAAATACCCACTGTTACCTAAGTGACTAAAATATTTCCAGCTCTCACCACATACTTGGCTCTGTGTCTTTTTTGCTGTGAACAGCCCAACCACCCACTCAAACTACCCACCATGTGGTTTGCTTCATTTCTGTTAGTGAATATCAGTGCAGCCTATGGATGTTAGTGTGCTATTCACTTAACAGCCATTAATAATCAAGAGCATTTCTTGCTATCAATAAACAGTAATGACCTTCCTCTGCCATATTTAATAGATTATATAGTAGAGCTGTTCACAGCCTTTTTGATACTTTTCCTCTTTCCATCATTCTGGCACAAGGAAATCTTTCTTATGTCCAAATATTGTTTTCTTTTTCACAATTGAGAAGGCTCTTTTCGATGCTTTTCTGGAACAGTCTGCTCTGCTCTACCTGTTCTTGAGTCCTTGTTTGGACCTTTTGTATTTACGTTCATGAACGAGGCTCTTGATTGCAGACTCTGACAATGATATGCTTACTTCCTCGAGTGTGTTCTCGGCAGAGCCAAATGTTATGAAAGTATAACCTCTCTTTTGGTGTTCTTCTACATGTTTGTTGGGGTCTTTCAGGCCTTTTGGTGTTGCTGAGCTAGCCAGTCCATTACTTCTCTTTAAGAATATGCTGCTTTGTTGATTTTTGCCTCCTTTTCACTTTGTTTCTCTTCTTTTCTCTCTCTCTGGTTTTCTTGTCATCTTTGTCTTATCTTTAAGGTTCTGTTTTGTTTTATTGTTCATCTGAATCAGAGGAAACTCTGGTCACTACAACAGACTCTTCAAATCGCTTAGAAATAACTTCAAATGTTATTAATGTAGACATAGATACACTGGTGCTGCACTGAGCAGGTTGGTGATATGTCAGCACATTAACCACTTTAAACTAATATTAATAAACTGGCTGAAATTCATAGTGC